GCATCGGGCTCCCTGCTCGGCAGGGAGTCTGCTTCTCCCTCTCCCACTCCCCCTGCTTGTGTTCCCTCTCTCGCTGTGTCTCTGTCAAATAAATAAATAAATAATCCTTAAAAAAAAAAAGGTTACCATTTAGAAGAAGAAGTACATTACAGGCCCAAGGTTATTAGCTACAGTATATAAAGAGCACCTATAAATCTACAAGAATAAGGCAAGCAACCCACTCAAAAATGGGTAAAGAGTATGAACCCTGTCAAGTTATATAGGAGACCCTGTCAAGTTATATAGGAGATTATGCAGGGCCTGAGAAGGTGAGCGTCTTGTCCAAGGTCTCATACACATAGGAGATTATGGACCCAGGCTTCTTCACTAATATCCAGGCTTTTCTCACCATCTCATTCTCACGTGGATGGTGAGGCAGCTGGCCAGCATATCTATTCACTCAGCTGACACTTATTGAGTGCTTGCCATATTCTAGGCCCTGGCATTAGGACTAGTGAGCAAGATGGAGGGCCCGGTTCAGTCCAGGGCAGGGGAGCAGTGGACCAGGCAGATAGGACAGGACGCTGGGGAGGAAGTCAGAGGTTGCAGGAGCTGACGTTTCTGTCCCCTCCCTCCTGGTCAGCTTGTGTCCTCTCTTGCAGAGTCGGGGCTGGAATACTACCCTCCTTCTCAGTACTTGCTGCCGGTCCTGGAGCAGGACAGAGCCAACACCTCCCGGAACAGCCCTGATGGACCCACGGACAGATTCTCCCGGGAGGAGGTAGAGTGGCAGGTAAGGCGTACCTGCCTGCTGACGGGGGGGGGGGGGGGGCGCACCCAGGGGGCCCTGGGCACTTGGGGGATGGTCAGAGCTGGAGGCCCTGGATTCCCCCACCAAACTAGAATTCACCTCCATCCGGACCAGTGTGCTGAGATGCTCTCACAAAGCCTGTGCCCCCTCACCCCACCACCTCACCAAACATGCACCAGGCTCCTCTCTGCTCCCTGAACCCCTCGGGACCTTTGAACTTGCAGTCCCCCCCGCAATCTGGAATTCTCCTTGCTCCTCTCTCGCTAACTCCACCTCATCCTTCAGTTGTGTCTGAATCCCACGTCCTCTGAAAAGTCTCCCCGCCACATCAGCCCGGGTCAGGTCTCCTGCTCTATGTTCTCCGGGTGCCCCACGTTTCCTTGGGAGCACTTATCACGGCTCTAAATGAAGAATTACATGGGAGATGATTTGTTTAATGTCTGTCTCCCCTGCTGGATGGAGCTTGGGGAGCTTGGGGATCGTGTCTGTATTGTTCCTTGTTGTCTCTCAGCAAGTACTTCGTGCCTCGGTGCCCCTTGCTGTACAGGACTCCTGTCATGCTCTCCTCTCTGTGAGCAGTCAGGGAGGCACACGTGTCAGGACAGCAAGGGGCTGCCCCCCCCCCCTCCCCGGTCCCAGGGAGCGAGCTGGCCCAGGACGGGCATAGAGGAAGCTTGGTCAGAGTTGGCCGTATCAGCCAGGGGCACCTGACAGTGGAGGCAGTCAGAAGCCACCTCTGTCCCCCCCCTGCGCTCCCACAGGGGGCCCAGAGCCCGGGGCCTCTGATGGCAGGCGGGGGGGTGGGGACCAGCTGCCAAGGGTTTGACTTCTTACCTTCCAAGGACTTTTTATTCCTCTCTGGTTCCCTGGTGCCCCCCTTCCCTGTTTGACAGTGCCACCATGTAGGCCTTCGTAGTTTTGTCTTTCTCTTGGCAGCTCAGTGAGAACTAGAGAGGGGGAAGATCTCGATCCAGGAAAATCATGTCCATTTATACTCTCAGGAAGTATTTGCAACAAACATTTCTGATGCAGGATTAGCAGACTGAACATATAAAGAGCTCTTTCAAAGCAGTAAGAAGCAGAAAACCATCCCAAGAGGGAAAAAAAAAAAAAAGCCAAAGATCTATCAACAGGTACTTTACAGAATAAACCGGTACAGATGAGGGGCACCTGGCTGGCTCAGTTGGTAGAGCACCTAACTCTTGATTTCAGGGTCATGAGCTCAAGCCCTACGTTGGGCATAGAGCGTACTTAAAAACTAACCAAAAAACAGTACAGATGATCAGTAAACGTGAAAAAAAACCAATTCCCCTAGTAATCAGAGACCGGTAAACTAAAACAACAAAATACTGTTTCCTCCCTCAGATTGGCACAAGTGTCACTTTGATAATTTCTTGGCCAGAGTGTGGGGAAACAGTGGCCTCATAAATTGCTCTTGGGAATGGAAACCGGTGTTCCCACTTGTGGAAGATAACCTGATAATATGGGTTAAAAATTTAAGTGGCTGTGGCCCTCGCCCATGATCCAGGAGTCCCACTTCTTGGTACATACACACAGAGAGACACTTGTGCAAGGAGACATTTACAAGAATGTTCCTTGCAGCCTTATTTGCAGTAGGGAAATATTGGAAGCCCCCTAAATGTCTGCCAGTGGGCAAAGGCTGAGCCATCTGTGTCCTGTCCCTACTATGCACTAGATCTGTCCAGGCGTGGATCACGGGACAGATGGATGAGTGAAAAGGGCAGGCCGCAGAACACAGTGGATATAGTTTAGTGCCCTTTTTATGTTCAGAAAGGTTCAAATATATAGGAGAGCAGATCAGCAATAGCCATTAACATGGGGGGGTGGGTAGGAGGACAGTCTGACAAAGGGGCACGAGGGAATTTTGGGGGGGTAATGGGGTGGTTCTCTATCTTGACTGTAGTGACCATTACATGACTAGAACTGCATACTAAGAAGAATGAATTTTACAGAATGAATTTTGCCTTCATTAAAACGTATTTATATATGAGCACACACAGACAAATCTTCTGTATTTTCCAAAGGCACAAATTATGTATAAATAAATGCGTGCACTCGGGTCTGGTAATGGTAGTTACATGGCAGGGGGGCAGAAGGGAACGAGGATCAGGCTGGGGAATGGTCCATGGATACCATACGTGCTGTTTTAATTTTTTACGAAGAGAATATATTCCGATATTATCTGTATAATTAAAAGTTAATTTTAAAATTTTACTCCTACCTCAGCATGGGACAAACCCGATTTCCTTATAATATGCTGCTTTTACAGCTCAGACAGCTTGATCCTGGCCTCTGAGCTGGATAACTAAATACAAGGGCCACTTAAAGATATCTGTGTGTGTGTGTTGATGTGTAACTATAAGAGTAATTCATGCTCCTTGTTACAAGTCTGAACAATACAGAAATATGTAAACTAAGCGAAGTCACCCCACCCCACCCCACAGTCCCACACCCTGGAGGTAATCATCACAAACTGTTAATGCATCTCCTTCCTGAGTCCGATCTGAACAGATACAAAACTCCAAGTTGAGTTTTGTTGTGTTGTTCTTACGAGAACAGAATCCTGCACACACAGAGTGAAAGGTGGCAGACCTCTTTCCTTGCAACTCCCCACCTTCACCCCGTTACTTGATAGCTGTGTGACCCACTGCATGGAATCACCATGACTTACTGAAGTAACCATCTGAGTTATTGCCAGGGTTTTTACTCTGTAGAACAATTCTGCAGGAACTTGTACGTGTCCCTTTGTGTTTGTGTTTTGGTGGGCTAGAGTTTTGGGGCACTGCAGGTATGCTGTACGGACAGGGAATCCCACATTCCACTTCTTGGTCCCCCTTATGGAGCACTACACCTTCTCAGGGCTGCACCCCCAGAACTATCCTGAAGAGCTTCCTACCCTGTGCCAAGCCCAGTGGTTCTCTGCCCTGCTGTCTGCTAGAACCCTCTGGGAGCCTTTATCAGACTACCCTTCCCTCTCGTCCCCCTCCACCCCCCCCCCATTCTGACACAGTGCTCTAGGGGTGGAGCTGGTTTCTGGCTGCCCCGTGATTCTGGCCACAGGCCGGGAATCCCACTGCTGCCACCTTCTCTTGACCACTGTCTTTTTCCCCCCAGAATAGGTTCTCAGACTATGAGAAGAGGAAGGTAAGAAAATGTCTTTTTTCCCTTGGCCACTTTTCTTCTTATCAAAGATCTATTATAAAAGATTTGAGGGAACAAGTTCTTCCTGTCTCTAAATTAGATGGTAAACTAAAGGTTTCCTCTTAACTACATTGCCTCACCACATCCTTAACGCAGCCTCGGTGGTGAAAGGGTATCTCCACCTCACAGATGAGCAGTCTGAGGCTCAGGGACCCCAGACTTTAAACCTCTAGCCTCTGCCAGTGAACAGAATGTTTTATTACAATTGGGCCCGGGGGGTGGGGGATGGTTAATGGGAGGCACTGGGTTTGGAGGATGTTGCTCGGTGTGAAGACCTTCAGCCCGCACTACTGGGAGTTGAGGCGTGGATTCACCCTCCTCCCATGTCCTGACGCCCACAGAGCCTTGCCAGTCATCGCCAGGATCTGTATTCTTGCAGGAACAGAAGATGCTGGAGAAACTGGAGTTTGAACGGCGTCTGGAACTCGGGCAGCGAGAGCATGCCCAGCTCCTTCAGCAGAGCAACAATCAGAAGGACGAGATCCTTCAGACGGTCAAGGAGGTCCGTGAATGGCCAAGTGGGGTCAGGCTTGTCTGCACACTCCCTGCCAGGGGGGCCCTCTGCTGTGGGGAGGCGGTGGGGGTAAGCGCTCTCCCTTGATCTTCCAGAGCCTGGGGGGCCCTTACAGATCCCCTAGCCAGCCTCCTCGTGTGTGATGGACACCCCGAGCCTAGCAAGGGGAAGCCCTGGGCCAAGATCACACGGAAGCGCCTGGCAGGACAGGGCCCCTTGCTGCCAGCTCAGGCTGGCTGCCTGTCCTGCTGCAGGAGCAGTCCCGGCTGGAGCAGGGCCTGAGTGAGCGGCAGCGCTGTCTGGACGCCGAGCGGCAGCGGCTGCACGAGCAGCTGAAGCAGACGGAGCAGAACATCTCCAACCGGATCCAGAAACTCCTGCAGGATAACCAGAGGTCAGGCCTCCACTCCCCAGACCCAGAGACCTTCCCTGACATCGGTACCCTTTGAAGAGCCCAGGATAGGGATCCATTTCTCCCTTAGAGTCTCGATTCCTGCCTGAGGTTTTTGTTGTTAGGGTCCAGTCTTGGTGCTGCAGTTTGCACCAGCCTAAAGAGAAAAGAATCTGCTCTGGGCCTGACCTGGTCTGTGGCTTGTCCTCAGACCCGTGCCTCCCGAGTGTCCCGTCTGTGAAATGAGTGGGTGTAACAGGAGAGTTGAGATCACATCCTGCTCCAGTAGTTTAGGTTCCAAGTGACCCATTGCGCTGAGGTCAGCCATAGTGAGATTTTGCCTTACCAAATCCTGTCCAGGGTGGGCGGGGCTAGGAGCCAGTCTCGGTGGGCTTGGGGGAAAGGAAGCCAGATAGAGGTCTCCAGAATCTCTAGTTGGGGTCCCTTGGGGAAAGCCTCCAGAAACAGGCTTTCGCTATGTCCCCTGTTCCTTCCAGGCCTCCTTTTGCTTTTCACTCGCTCCTCCGTCACGCAGCCGTTACACGGTGCCCGAGCGAGCCAGCAGGCCTGCCGCGTGCCACGCAGCGTGCTCTCCCCACCAAGGCAAGCGACCGGAAGGCTACCATTTGTCGGGTGCTGCTTACATGCCGAGCACTTTGTGTATAGTCTCTCATTCGCTCTTTACAAAACTCCGTGAAGCTTTTCTCATGACGATCCCATTTTGCAGATGAGGAGCTGGGGCTTGGTGTGGCTGAGTACCTGGCCCGAGGACACAGAGCCCCGAGGTTCTGAGCTGAGAACCCCGGCCGGTTCCTAAGCCCCCTCTTCACAGCCAGTGCAGCGAGGGGAGGGCAGTTTTGTTGGAAACAGGCCTGCTGGTGACAACTGCAGTGACCTTTTACGGTTTGGGTTCTCTCCACAGGCAAAAGAAAAGTTCTGAGATCTTGAAGTCGTTGGAAAATGAAAGGTTAGTGTTTCGCTCAAGCACTTTCTCAGTGTTGCCTTGGGGTTGGGGGGGAGGTTTTGGGGAGAGAAGATCTTGTGATTCTCAAGGATTATGCCAGAAAGTTTTCCTAAAGCTGTAAGGAGATTGACCTCCTTAGGTATTTAAAAAGAATCACCACCTGCAAGTTTAACACACATGTACATTCCTGAGAAAAACTGAGATGTAAATAAAATGTGTAATGTCCAACTATATGGCTAATATAAAAAAATCAGAAAAATCCATTTCTTATTGAGGGAAACACACTCTATCACAAAGTAGAAAAGTGGGGGCTGCAGTTAAAGCAGAGCAGTGTATGATTTCTTCAAAACACAGTGTATATCTGCTCAGAGAGCACAAGGAGCCACCCTGCGTGGCTTGCCAAACATTTCTGAGAGGCAGAAATTAGACGTGGTGATCTTTGGGTGTTTTCCTTTGTGTTTTCCAGGTTTACTGAGACGCACCCCTTTAGTAAGTAGGAAAGAGGATAGCTGAGAGGGAAGAGCCCCCTTTCTTTCCTCTCTCTCCTTCCCCCCTGCTCCCCTCCCCCTCAGGATTATCCGGAATCCCTCCTGGTTCCCTGGAGTTCCAGAATAGCAGCGTGGGCTTTGCTGTGGTCCTTATGCCGGCCTTCCAGGCCCCTGGCTGCTTGGGAAGAACTCCTGTAGGGTAGCCCTCTCACCTGGCCCCTTCAGCCGTGGTGCTGCGAGAGCTGGGAGCCGCCAGGGCCCAGCCCGGTTGTGGCCAGTTCATCTGGCGCACGCTGACCAAGTGCCCTCTCCCTGTTTGGGTGCCCTGGGCAGGAGGGCCTGGGCAGGAGGCAGAGGTGCTCAGATGCTGCTTCCAACGAAGCGAGACCCTGCAGAGAGATGAGATGTTCTGTCCGAGCCACTAGGACTCGTTTACAGTGGGGAAACAGCACACACGCAGTGTGCACATCTGGACGTGCACTTACCTTTTAATTTTCATTTACTGTGTCACGGATGGGTTTCCACGCCAGAAACCTCATTGGTAATAGCTGTAGAGTATTTACTATGTGATTATATCCGAATTCGTCCTCTGTGGACCCAGAAGTTCCCGGTGTTTCGTAATGACAAGCACTATTGTAGCACTATTCGATTCTACATTCTACTGAACGTAGGCACTGATGTGAATATTTTTTTTTTAAAGATTTTATTTATTCATGAGAGACCGAGAGAGAGAGAGAGAGAGAGCGAGAGGCAGAGGGAGAAGCAGGCCCCCAAGGAGCAGGGAGCCCGATGCAGGACTCGATCCCAGGACCCCGGGATCATGACCCGAGCCGAAGGCAGACGCCCAACCATCTGAGCCACCCGGGTGCCCTGACGTGAATATTTTTGAAGGACGTGTTCAAAGGACCTTTTGATGGGTCTTGCCACATGGCCTTCTGGAAGACGCTTTGCCAGCGGCTGCCCTTCTCAGCGGGCCGCAAAAGTGCCCGCTTCACCTTCAGCGCTGCCACGGTGCTTGGTGCTTCCCCTCCTCTCCCAGCCTGGTAGGGGAGGGGGTTGTACTCCTAGTTAGCGGTGACGTGAGCCTCTTTCCAGGTGGTTATTGGTCACTTGTATTTAACCATCTGTGAAGTGGCCGTTTTTGTCCTTTGCCCGTTTTCCAAAGGGAATGTTCATCTTGTTATGCAAGAAACTCTGCCTACCAGGCTGCAGGTTAGGCCCAGGTGGAAGTGCGTGATGCAGCAGGAGCTGGTCTAGGTGGGCACATCAAGGAGGACTTCCCGAAGAAGGCGGCATTCCTCTGATGCGATTCCCTGTTGGAAGTGTTAGATCTGCTCAGTAAATGGATGGATTTTTTTTTTTTCCTCCTAGAATAAGGATGGAACAGTTGATGTCCATAACCCAGGAGGAGACGGAGAACCTGCGGAGACGTGAGATTGCCTGTGAGTGGGGAGGGTCTTGGGGGAGGGGTGTGGGGTCCTGGGAACAGAGCTTGTCTGACTAGGGTGCGGGGGAGGCCACCTTCTCCCTGTAGGTCAGGTACAGCGGGCTCAAGAGGGGCAGTAGAGTCCAGGAGGGAAGCATGGGCCCTGCGGTCCATGGCTGACTCGGAAACAAGCCTGTATGACCTCAGGGCCATTACTGGTCCCTAACTATTCGGAGCCTCCATGTTTTTATCTGAAATGGGGAGAACAATAATTTTCCAGCTCATGGGGTCATTTGAGGGTCAGACGAGATGATACCTGGCACTGAGTGAGCACTTCACAAAGGCCGTAGGATTTCTGTTACCAAGAGCTGTGGTTGGCCCCTCTTGTGTTGCTGGGAGCTCCCCATCCTGCCATTCCCAAGAAGTGGCCCCATGGCACCACACTTTGTCCATACTTGGAGGGGGGGTACTTCCTGTCTGATCGTGAGCACTGAGAGCATCCAGCCATGTGCCAAGGAAGACCAGGAGTCAGTTCCTCCTTTTTTTAAAATAAGGAATGGTTCTTCTTGGCTGGCCCCATCCTCCCAAGGCTGGATACTGGAGTGGGATACTATGGAACACTGTGTACCAGGCCCCTTGCCAAGCACTTTGCATACACCACTTCATCTCACTCCCTCCTGATGAGGTGTTATTAATGTTCCTATTTTAAGGTCACTATTACCCACCATTTATACGAAAGAAAACCTTTTTTTGCATTTCCAGAAGGATGTTTAATAATAAATTGACTGATTAGGAATAGTATCAGTACCGGGGACTTTTGTTTTCACCTTTTTAAACTTCCCTATTGCTTAGTTTTTTTAAAAATGAGCATGTACTATTTTTATAACTAAAAAGATTTCCATAAAACAACGAAGTCAAGAGTCGGTAGTAACCCTTGTTGAGGACATATGGTATCATGCTGTCCTGTGTCCTGCCAAAAGGAATGTGAATCAGCGGGATCTTTCTGGAGGGCAGAAAGGGTAACTCCTATTATTCACGGCCTTAAAACTGTACTCTTCTAAAAATTAATCTTAGGAAATAATCAAATTGCATAAGGATCTTTGGGCAAGGACACTTACCATTTAATAATTGCAAAAGAGACCAAATGCCCCCAAATGGAGGATTATCTAAATAAACCGTGGTGATCCGTGCCCTGCAGTATGTTACGGCCAGTTCCTCACGCTGCCACGTGGCCATGGGGAATTAGTCACAAAAAGTGAGAAGTGGTGTGTTTAGCGTGGTCACATTGTAATTTTGTTGTTGTTGTAGTAAAATATATAACCTAAACTTTGCCATTTTAACCACTTGTGATTGTACGACTCTGTGGCACACGGCACATCCACGTTGCTCAGCAGCCACCGCCGTCCAGCTCCAGAACTGCATCTTCCCGACTGAGAGTCTGTCCCCGATAAACACAGATTCTCCCTCCCCCTCCCCAGCCCACGTAGAACCCCCATTCCACTTTCTGTCTTGCTGAATCTGACGACATTCCCATGTAAGTGGAATCCTGTGGTATTTGACATTTCATGACAGGCTGCTTTCACTCAGCAGAACCTCCTCAGGGTTCATCCCTGCTGGAGCAGGTGTCAGAACTTCCCTTTTTGAAGGCTGAGTAATATTTCCATTTGTGTATTCACATTTTGTTCACCATCTGTCCGTGAACACTTGGGTCGTTTCCACCTTTCGGTTTTTGTGACTAACGCTGCTGTGAATTTGGGTGTATGAATATCTGTTCAGTTCTATAAATATGCATTAAAAATTGACTAGAAGAATATATATCAAAATATCTCTGGGTGATAAGATTATAAAAGATTTTGTGTGCATGCTATTTGGTGTTTTACAAATAGCCTTTTCAAGCTTAAGTTACTTCCATAGTTTAAAATTTTTGGAGGGGGGCGCCTGGATGGCACAGTCATTTGACTCTTGGTTTCCGCTCAGGTCATGATCTCCAGGTCGTGAGATCAAGTCCCAAATCGGGCTCTGTGCTCAGCAGGAAGTGTGCTTGAGATGCTCTCTCCCTCTCCCTCTGCCCCTCCTCCTGCTTGTTTGCGTGCTACCTCTCCCTCTCAAATCTTTTTTTAAAAAAGTGTCTTTTAAGGGTGACTGTGAGGCGGGTGATGAGGTGAACCCCACGAGGCCCCCAGGAGTGGTGCCCCTTTCTCAGTCCCACCCCCATGTTTCCTCAGCCGCCATGCAGCAGATGCTGACCGAGAGCTATAAGAACCGGCTCATCCAGATGGCCTACGAGTCTCAGAGGCAGAGCTTGGTCCAGCAGGCCTGTTCCAGGTAAGGTAAGGAGAGGCTTCCTGAGTTGGGGGCACTGGCTCGGGGCCCAGGACTGTGGGGGTGAGCGCTGGGCACTGCAGTCCCCGCCCCAGCCTTGGCCGTGCATCATGGGCAAGCGGTGACGGCTCTTCATGACTTCTGTAGCTGGACCCCATGATTGGGTCAGGCTCTGGTAAAGCGACAGCAATCACTCGCACTTCTCATGCACTTCCTGTGAGCCAGGCACTCGGCCAAGGGATGTGTGTTGGCTTACTGACTCTCTGTGGCAGTGTGTCATTAGCCCCGTTTTGCCACCACAGCTCAGGCTCAGAGAGCCTATGTGACACATCCAAGGAAACCCAACCAGCAGGTGGCAGAGCCAGGGTTCAGGCCCAGGCAGAGCGGGGGCGTGCTCTTGACCGCGTTGCCCTCCTCGACCTCCGAGGGTCTGCAGAGGCCGGGAGCGGCGTGCCCTGGAGGGAGAGGTGATAGGTTGCTTTCACACTGGCGGCAGCTGTGGGTCTGGCTGGCCAAGTTCACTGCCTCGCTGTGGGTTAGTCTGTTGAGGGAACCACACGTGTCGGCACAGCCGTGGAGAAGAGCTCTTGGTGCTCGGGAGATGGGCCAGGAGCACCGGCTACCCTGGTGTTTCTCCCCCTGTCGAGGTGCTTCTGGCACAGCCCCCAGCCTCCCCGTGTCCTCACAGGTGGGGGGATTTCCCCTTCCTTTCCTGGCGATAGAACATCGAGCTTAGGAGTGTGCACACTGGCGGCGGACAGACCTGGACTCAGGTCCCCCTTCTGTTAGTAACTGTGAAGTGTTGGGTCAGTCCATTTCCCTTCTGAGCCTCAATTTTCTTATCAGAAAAATGGGGATAAGTCACAGTACCTACCCCTGGAGTCGTTGGATTTAACGAGGATGGTCTTTGCCACAAAAGGGCCAATAAATAACAGCTATCATTACGAAACAAACTCAAAACCAAGATTATGCCAAAGTATGGACATATGTGGGGCTTCAGGGTTTGGATTTTTATGCCAGAATCACTAGACTTGTTCTGGGGGCTAAGAGCAGATCCGAGGCCAGGGTGGGAAATGCTAGGGGTGTCGGGTGGGGCATGGCTGTTACTGCCCGAGAAGGAGAGCTTTCTCACGGCCCAGGTGGCCCACCTGGGAGGTCATGAGCTTGTTGGTGGAGGTGGGAGGGCAGAAGCCAGGCCACTACTTCAAGGGCATTGTAGAGGAGATTCTGATGGAGGGGTGGATGAGAGGACCCAGACACACCGACTCTGTCCCCTTCCTTCTAAGACAAATGCCATGTCTGTGCCCCGCCCAGGAGGTACCCCCCAGCAGGTGCTGCTTGAGTATTATTATTGAATGGGTAAATGGTTTATTTTGATCTCCAAGGTTCCTGGCACTTGGTAGATGCTCAGAAAACATTCAGAGAGTGAATTAATTTGCTGTCTTTCTGGCAGCATGGCCGAAATGGATGAGCGGTTCCAGCAGATTCTGTCATGGCAGCAGATGGATCAGAACAAAGCCATCAGCCAGATCCTGCAGGAGGTGAGCCTTTGTCCAGGGTGTGAGGGCAGGGGCTCAAGATGGGCACAGGGAGCCTGAGGCAGAGCATCACAAGTCTGCATGGAGCCCTGTCCTTAGCATAGAAGACCCAAGATGCTTAGTATGTTTAGAACTATATAGACCCTCAGGACAGAGGGGCTGGGAGAGGGAGAGCATGGTGGTTTTCTGGTCACTGAGATCTAGAGAAGGATCTCCTGCTTCCGTGGCAGGCACCTACTCTCCGTGCTATGTGGCTCTGTCGTAAGGACTTAGGGGCAGGACGTGGGGATCACTCCATGGAGGCAGAGCACACAGGAGAGTGCCAAGGGCCTTTCGACTTCCTGCTTCCAGACGGCGCACCTCTGTTGGCCACCTCACCTTCCTCGTGAAACTGGGCAGTGAAAGCACCCACACCCCTGGTTGTGGAAATTCAGTGCACATAGTATCCAGGGCTAGTGAGCCTTTCGCAGATATTATTTCTAAAATGTGAACAAGTGAGCTAAAGAGTTACGTTCCCTCTAAGAGACCGGGAAGTCCTCCATGAAGGGGTTTCTGAGCAGATTCTGTGTGCCCCCTGGCCCGGGCCCCGGGCACCTGCCGAGCAGCTGGTGATCTCTGTTGCAGAGCGCCATGCAGAAGGCCGCGTTTGAGGCTCTCCAGGTGAAGAAAGACCTGATGCACCGGCAGATCAGGAACCAGGTGAGGGCTGGGGGTGCGGCCCCACCGACCCCTTCCTGCGTGCCTTCCCAGACGGCAGAGGTGGTTCCTTCATGCGCCCCTCAGCCATCCATTCCCCCCCAACTCCACGCCACCCCTGCCACATAAATGGTTCCGCTGCCTCCCCTGATGCCCGTGGGCAGCCTGGACGGCTTAGGCAGCCTCTGCATCCACCGTGCCCCAGGCAGGAAGCCCTCCCTGGGGGAAATGCGGTCAGTTCCACCCCAGTGACCACCTCCATCAGCTCAAACTGAGGAGCTGGGGCGGATGGGGTGGCCCACCAGGGCAGGCAGGGGAGGCCGCCTCGCCTGGAGGGAGCTGTGCTCTGGTCTGGGCTCGGCTGCCGACCTGCAGGCTGGCCTCCGCCCGGTGGGCTATGTTGGGCCCCCCTGGGCTTTCTGGAGGGCTGGAGACGGAGCTTTCAGGCTGCGGGAATGCTCATCGCATACTATTCGGCACACTTTGAATTTTACATTTTTGCATGTTTTTTTCTTTGTATTCTTTTCTCTTTTTTTGGCCAAAACCAACTTACCTTTTTATTTCCCTCTTTAATTTCAATCCCACCTTGCCGGACATGAAGCTCATTCCTCTGACCAGGGGTTGGTGGGGCCATAGGAACTTAGGGGTGAGGGCCATAGGGTCACAGGCTCGGGGTGGAGGAGTCACTAACTGTGGGGTCTGACCCCCAGGCATCCTCCCTGTGGGTGGTTCTGACCCAGCTGGCCAGCTGTTCCCCTTCAGACCCAAGCAGGGAGAGCCCCGGGAAAGGGCTCCCTCACCAACCTGCTCTGTGTCCTTGAACAAGTTACTTAAGCTCTCTGAGCCCCCGTTTCCTCATCTGTAAAATGGAGGCAGTAATATCTCCTAATAACCAGGGGAGATTTGATGACAACATTGTAGTTAGAGTACACAGCACAAGCCTTGCACACAGGATGTTCTGGAAGCATCAGCTGCTACCATCGTTGTTCTTAGTCACTCCATTACCCTCTGCTCTCTGTGACGGCAGTTACAGGAAGTAAGACACTGCGGTGAGTGCGAGGCTCAGTGAGGACCTGTGTCTGTTCTGCACTCTGGCCTGAACCTTAAAGGCGGGCCTGTCTCCATTCCATAAGCCGTTAGCCTCTCTGGGATGGGCCCTCCAGGACAGGCCCGTCTGTGCCCCCCAAGCACTCGGGGCCCTGAAACAACTAATTCTTTTAAAGCCCTGCTGAGGGGGTTCCCAAGGCACCCAGGTCCCCTTCATTCCCGACCGCCCCCGAAAGGTTTCTTAGACCCCACTTGGCCTTCAGGGAGCAGCACAGACTTGAACCTTGGTTAATGTGAATTTAAAAAAACCCTGTTTCGTCTTCCGTTTAGATTAAGTTAATAGAAACTGAGTTATTGCAGCTGACTCAGCTGGAGGTAAAGAGGAAGTCCCTGGACACAGAGGCACTGCAGGTATGTAGGGCTCCTGGCCTGCCCCTCCTCCTTGCCTCCCTCCCCACAGCTGCTCCCCAGCAGGCAGGCAGGCACCTCTGGGGCTGTGATGGGAGCACAGCCTGGGGGGCGAGCCCAGCGCAGGCCAAGGTTAGGGTCGGGGCAGCCTATTGCTCAGCAGGAGGGTCAGAGGAAGTCGGGTTTCATTGCCAAGGCTCACCCAGGCCCATCTCCATCTCTGCATTTTCTTTGTTTTGAAGCAGGGTCACTGCTGAGCTCCCTGTCTCTTTAAACCATGCTTTTGGGGTGCTGGTTCAACTCACGGGCTGATCTCCTCTGGGGAAGGAGCTGTCTTGGTGTCCCAAGGATCTCTGGAGGAGAGGGCCCAGCTGTAACTGTGTCACTCCCTGCAGGCGGTTTCTCTGGGAGCTCCAGTCTGGGTGTCCTGCTTGTAGAGCGTGGGGGCAGTAGGGACCAGCAGGTGGCGTTCTGGACTGCGTGTCCGGGACCTGGGCTTTGTCCTCTATAGTCGTACTGTGTGACCTGGGCAGGCACAGAAGAGGGCTGGACCGTGCCCTGCCCCGACCTCTGCCCAAATGTCCAAAAGCAGATGGATCAATGGTGTGTGAGGACCTGCGCCCCACATCCGGCTTCTGAGTAGAGCCTTCTGTCTGTCCCTGTGTTTGTGTCTGTTCTCAGGTCTGTCACAGATGTGCTGTGTGACCTAAGGCAGGTCACTTCCCCTCCTAGGCCTCCCATTTCTCCCCTTCGTAAAAGGAAATCATCTTCCAGGCCCAGCTTGTGTCCTAGGGCCATCACACTGGGGCAAGCTAGCCAATGCAAAGCCCTTTGTGAGCCTTGCCGCCTGTCTTCAGAGATGAGCTCTCAGAAAAGATGCAGCCACCGTGCTTGGCAGGTGCCCATGTCTCCTGCCCATCAGAGCTTGTGAGGCTCCCATTTTGAGGGCCTCCGTGGTTTCCAAGAGTAAGAAATGAGTGGAACACAGACACAAACGAGGACTTCGCCCAGTTTGCATGTGCCTCCATCTGGGTAGAACCTTCCAGACCCATGGGGGTTACACGCCAACCCTCCCTGCCTGTGCTTCCACCCACACGCTCTGTAGTCCCTGAGATTGCAGTCATGTACCTGTGGCTTGTCATTTCCTTTGTTTGCTGTTTCTTACCATTCCATTGTCAGGAGTCACTAGATCCCACGCCTGGCCTGACCCCCACAGGGAGAAGATGAGGGGATGCCCAGGCAGAGGGGCCCCTCGGCTCCATCCCCCAACCCTCTGTCTGGTTGAGTTGGGCCCACTGTGGGGTCCTGGCTGCCAGCTTGGAAATGAAGTGGCGGGGGGGGATCCTGTCACCCCATGGGGTACTCCTGGCTCCAGAGCTATGAGCTTCCAGCGGCACTAGGCATGGTCTTGTGTTGCAGGAGATGATCTCGGAGCAGCGCTGGGCCCTGAGCTCCCTGCTCCAGCAGCTGCTCAAGGAAAAGACGCGACGAGAGGAAGAGCTCCGGGAAATTCTGGTGCGCTTGGCTTCTGCATTCCGCATCGCACATGGGTTCGCTTTCCCTAAACACACTCGGCATTCTTAGAAGCGTTACTGTTATTCAAGTAATAGTTGCTCATCAAAGAAAAAGAGAACGAAGGAAAAGACTCACTTCTGAGAGTTACCTAATGCTAACGCTTTGATGTGTTTTCTGACCACTATGATGCATATTTATAGCTGTGTATGTGTGTGCCTTATAAACATAAGATGGTACACACCTCTTTAGAACCAGCTCATTTGCCTCTGTTCTTTTCATGCCCTAAAATGTTCTCCATACGCTTCCTGGCTGCATCTGGATGGGCCATCCTAGCCCATTGCTGAGCATTCAGACTACTTCCAGTTCTTTACTTTTCTAAGGAATGCTCTCTTTGTAGTGGAGTATCGAGAACGACCATGAGTATCTATTCAAGACCGATGCCCAGGAGAGGACTTTCTGTGTCCAGGGCAGGCTGTGTAATAAGCTTTTGGCAGGAGTTGCCCAGCTGTCCCCTGTACCCAAATGTGTTTGACTCTGGCACATTGTCATGGTGGCAGGTGGCGATCGTTTCCTCTAGACCCCGTGTGCATTGGAGCATTGGGGACAGAGGCCTAAGTCGCTCCTATGGTGTCGTTAATGCTCCAGACGTTCTCTGAGCTCCGTTGTGGACAGAGCCCTGTGCAGGGAAGACTGAGACCAGCTTCCACAGCCCCACACGAGCCCATGTGCGGGCCAGTCAGAAGCTGCCGGTTCCTCGTGATGCCTTACCGCTGTCGCCTGCGAACTGTATTAACGCGCGGATGGCACGGTGGCATCTTGCAGCAGCCGCTGTGCCCTCTGGCCCTATGCTCCTGCCCTTAGGGGCCTCAGAGCACTCACCATCCAGGGGAGGAAGCCCCCCCTCAGCAGATCGTGACTGCTGGGGTCACGGGTGCCAGACGAGAGATGTGTCCACAGCCTGGGGAGGGCCGTGGGCAGCAGAGGGGAGCAGCTTGGCAAGGTCTGGGAGGGACGGCCAGACAGGCCCTAAGGCCTGGGTTGAAGTCTTGCTGCCCGCCTCTCCTTTGGCCCCCAGCGTGTGGCCGCAGTCCTGGCTGGGCCGCCTGGCTTGCTCAGAACACAGGTCCCCGGGCAACACAGGCCTGGGTCCAAGTCCTGGCCCTCACCCCGGACAGCTCTTGTAACTGGGCAGGTTCCTAATCACTCTGAACCTCCCTTTGCTCACCCTGGAAGTCGGACCCCCTCACGGAGCTGTGCGAATTAAGGAAAATGGCACCTGGGTGCATAGCGGGTTCTGGCACACGGCACTCTGAAAACGTTAGCTGTTGCTGTTCATACCATTTTTGTCGTGGGACTGGCCCCAGCACCTAGAATCGTGCACCTAGAATCATGTCTACTTGTTCATGGCAGAATGAAGGGATCCGTTTCAGTAGCATGTCTGTCGTTCTCCAGCTTTGTCAGAAGGGTGAAGCCCACTCCAGAGGCCCATATTGTCCTTAGAATCCTATTTCTCTCCCTGCCTGTCACCAGAGCTGAGCCCGAGGAGGGGCCCGCAGAGCCTGGTGGCAGGCGTCCGAAGCCCTGAGTCTGGCCTCAACCCCAGGTGTGCCCTGGCTGAGATTGTTCGCAGCAGGTAACTGGGGGTCGAGGCACTTCCTGCCTTTCCGGGCTCAGTAGTTTAAGTGGTGAGACTGTGGGGGCTGCGGAAGTTCTTTGTAGACTACCGAGCAACCTCCACCAGCCAAAAGCCTCGTTCACAATGGGCACTGTCCTTACAGTTTTTATTTACTGACCTAGAACTAACGATGCCTGCTTCATCCTTGGCAGACAGAGTTAGAAGCCAAAAGCGAAACCAAGCAGGAAAATTACTGGCTGATTCAGTATCAACGGCTTTTGAACCAGAAACCCTTGTCCTTGAAGTTGCAGGTAAGGACTGCTGGTCCCTACCCTTTCGGAGAGCCTCCCCCGCCTCGGGGATGCCTGGCTGCCTGATCTTTCCAGTTCTGTTCTGTTCATATTTCCAGTGACTAGTGTGCCGGGTCCTCTGCTAGGCCCTGGCGGGGACAGAAAAGAGAGCGTGGGTGCCTTCCTTCTGGTACGGGAAGGGGGAGAGCTATGTGGGGTGGGGAGCACAGAAACCCCCTGCAAACCCCCGCTGTGGGCGGGATGGATGTGGTCCCCCCTCCCCCCACACACACACACTGGTTTTTTTATTTTGTTTTTTAATAAAAATGGAGTCCTTCTATATATACTATTTTGGCAAACTGTTTTTTACTCTTAATAATGACGGGCAGTTCTCTAGCTGTATACATAATAAATCTCCTCATTGTTTCCAGACATAGTATTTAGTATCTGGATGAGCCCTCATTGATTTAAACAGCTCCTCTTGATGGGTACCTGATCGCTTAACCATTTTCAAGTTTACAGGTAGACTGGCAGCGAACTTCCTCGCGTCTTTATCTCTGTGCTCACGTATGCATTTTTGTAGGAAGAGTTCCGAGGAGACGTTTTATATATTCTGTTAAACGTGCTCAGAGCCTTTGTTCGCCGTTGTGAATAACGGGGGCCGTGTTGGCGGTGTGGTCAGCTTCTCCCGTGGGTCTGTCCCGCAGGAGGAAGGCCTGGAGCGCCAGCTGGCGGCCCTCCTGGTGGATCTGTCGGCGGAACACTACCTGCCTCTCTTCGCCCACCACCGCATCTCACTGGACACGCTGAGCCGCATGAGCCCTGCCGACCTGGCCAAGGTGGGAGGCGGCAGCCCCGGGGTGGGGGGGTTGGAGCGCTGCACGAGGCCGCCGTCCGAGCCGCCAGGGGTCGGCTTGCGCTCCTGCCGCTGTGGGTGCGGTCTGCCATGAGCCCATGTTCCGGGGCCCCCGTGCTTCCAGACAGCCAGACCCCCACCTCGTCGGCCCCTCAGCCCCTGGGTGTAGCCTGCACGTCGTCTGCCCAACCCTAGACTACTCCCCCCGCTCAGCTGGGACCTTGACGTTGTAGGCCCAGGACAAGTCCTCGGAGGCTGTCTGGCCTGGCCCGCCCCCGGCTTCACGGACCTCGGAATGGCAGCACTGCCTGAGCCTGCTGACGTTCTGGGTCGGAGCTGAGCTCCGCATTGCGTTAGTTCGTTTACGCTTCGAAAGAGCCGAATGAGGGCAGCTAAGGTCCGTAGCCGTTGGCCAGTGCCAGGCGCTCTCCTAAGGGCTTTCCCATGCTGGCCCCTGCAACGGCCCGGCCGGGCACGTAGCATCCTTGTCGTTTCTCAGTTGAGGAAGTGGAGACGCGGCAGGGTGGTAGCTTGCCCGGGGTCACACGGCACAGTCAGGCCCCGAGCATGGGTGGTCCAGTCCCAGAGGCCATGCTGTCTACCCCTCTGCCGTGTGGCCTGTCCTTGACCCAGAAACTGACGGGTCACACACAGGGGCTGTGTCACCGTCACCCGCAGGTCTGTGGGACTCCAGCACTGCCAGTCCTCAGCAGCTCGGCCTCAGTGGGCACTCCCTGCCCCTTCCTGTGAACTCTGACAGTGGGTCCTGACTCCCCTGTGGTCGGGGGGCAGGGGGAGACGTGCGGTCTCACAGGTGATGCTTTCAGCGAGTCCCTGCCCCAGTGCAGGGTAGGCACGTGCTCAACTGTGACTCTTACCGGTGTTAGTTCCCTTTGGGGCCTCGGTTTCCCTCCCTGCCACCTGGTCAGCTCCACAGCTGTGGTGCTGCATTGCCTCCTGTTGACCTGGGGGCCCAGGCCTCCGAATTTCCAGGTGAAGGTGCCAGAAGCCAGGAAGGAGGCGGTCCTTGTGGCTCCCACCCAAACCCAGGCCGTAACTTGCTTTGCCTTGAACTGCCGTAGGTGGGCATCTCGGAAGCTGGCCTGCAGCACGAGATCCTGCGGAGGGTCCAGGAGCTGTTGGATGCAGCCAGGATCCAGCCAGGTACCAATACAGGGCATCTACTAAGCAGAGGCCCCAACCTCGCTTGTGGACTGTGCTCTGGGGGGAGGGGGTCACCTGTTTACATTTCAGGACGAGAACTGAGGGCCGGTCCTAGCCCCTATCGGTCCTTAAGGTTCCCTCCTAAAGGAACAGGATTTCCAAATGGAAAAAATAGGCCACAAAAATGGGCGGTGGGGGGGAAGAAGGAGAAGTTTCCTTGTAGAAGTAGAAGGGCCTTCCTGGTGCCCTGTCCTGTAACCTTCCCTAAAACTACCGTATGCTGGGAACCACACACCGCGGACCCTTGAAATAGAGGGGGAAACCAGCCATGCCCAGTGCCTGACACCGTGCCTGGGGCGGGCCTGTGGTGGCTGTGGAAAGATGTTTGTGACGACGTGCAGAGGGGTAAAGGCGGGTCATAAAGGCAGTCCACCTGTGTGTGGAGGCCCGGGGAAGTCTAGGTGCTGTGGCTGACGCAGGAGCAGATGCGGGAGGCAGGGGCTCCCGTGTGCCGAGCACGACCCAGGCACCAGGTATTCGCCAGCCCCTGCGCATGCACCATGTCGTGTCGCCCCTGTGTCAGCCCCGTGAGGTGGGTGCTACTGTCCTCGTTAGAGAGCGGAGGGAACAGAGATGTTAATGTTCTCCCGTAACGTCACACCGTAGGCAGATGGCTGAACCACTGAGCTTAAGGCCTCCCTCGAGAAGAGACCGAGGGGTCTTGAGAAGGGAAGGGAGCCTGGAACAAGGATGGAAGGAGCGGGCCTGCCTGGGCTGCCGGGCTGGGCGAGCCCACGGCACTGCCGGTCTCAGGCAGGGGCCGTTCAAGGCAGAGACCAAAGGTGGGATTGCTGGACCAGATTGCAGGGATGAGGCAAGAGCTCTGTGGCTGGCGTGGGGGAGATCCTGGGTCCCGAGGTGCCTGGGCCGTGTCATGATGTCCACAGGCTCCAGCTTTCCAGCCAATTTTATTCCAGGGGCATTGATCCGACCTAAAAAATGCATTAAACTAATAGTTCTTTAATATCAAGTAATGTATGAAATAGATCCCTTCTTCCCCTTCCAGATGTTTTCCAGTACTGACACCTTCCTGCTGTCAGACTGGAGGTCCGGATAAGTTTGGCATCAGGGCTTGGGGTCCCCCTCCTGGCAGACATAAGTGTCCTTCACTCTGAGCCCCTCAGATGATGGCTGCCTCCCACCGTCTCCAAAAAATCCCTACGGCTAGCAGGAGCCAGAAGGGACCAGCAGGTCCTTCCCCATTGAGGCTGCGTACAGCTTCTTCCTGATGCTGCCCAGCTGCAGGGAGGGCTGGGTGGGACCTCTCCTTGTCAGCTGCAGAGGGGGCAGGAGACCTTCAGTCCCTTTCCTGACATCCTCTTCCTGCTTCCAGAACTCACTTGGTGTCACATTAAATACAGAAGAGCCCCTTTACAGTAATGGTTTGGTGGCACCGTGGTACCTTCAGGGAGCCTAGTGTTGTAACAGCCTTTAAAAAAAAAATCTTAGGGCGCCTGGGTGGCTCAGTTGGTTAAGCGACTGCCTTCGGCGCAGGTCATGATCCTGGAGTCCCTGGATCGAGTCCCGCATCGGGCTCCCTGCTCAGCGGGGGGTCTGCTTCTCCCTCTGACCCTCTTCCCTCTCATGCTCTCTCTCATTCTCAAATAAATAAATAAAAAAATCTTAAGGTTTTTCCAATTATAAAAACTCGTAATTCAAACCACAGGATAGATGGGAAAATCTGAACCAAGATCAGGATGTGCATCTGGGATGGAGAGGACTCAGGGATGTTGGTGTATGTTGCATGATGAGAGAGACCGCTTCGTAAGGGCCGATCCTGCTGTGCTGCTCTGGGGCCCCGGGGGGGTGCCTGCTCTCCTGGGAGCAGGGCGGCGAGGGGGCAGCCCTGGGGCCTTCTCATTCCTCTCCCTGCTCCCCGGAGGTCTCCTGGGAGACCTGGTGGGGAAGCTGTGAGCACAGCCCCCATCCCCCCCAGAGCCCCTAACCAAGGGCTCCTGCCCCACGGCTCCACCACCAGGTGGCCCTGTGGTCTTGGGCAAGTGGCTGCTCTTCTTTGCAAGTGACAAGCCCTCCTTGCAGGGTCCCTGTGAAGGATCCAGGGAAGGGTCAGGGGTTAGAGGCCCCAATTAACCAGCACTGTGGCCTTCCCTGCCAGTGAGTCAGCACTCCTGTGTTACAGATGGGGGGGGTGAGGCTGAGAAAAGAGAAATAAGGGCGCCCTTACCCTCCTGTGGGATCCGAGGGCCCCACCTTAGCTCACTGTTCACTCGTGGCAGGCAGAGCCAGGGGACCCCCTGGGGGTTGGGATCCTGGGGGCATGACCCTGGCTCAGCCTGTCTGGTCCCCACAGAGCTGCTGAATCCACCCAAGGGTGAGGTCCTTGGGGCCCTGGAGGTGCCCACTGCCCCCGAGGAGCCGCCTGAGTCTGTGAGCCCGTCCGCTCCCCCGGCAGAGCTGGTGGTGCCGACCTCGGAATGTGTCGTATGCCTGGAACGGGAGGTAAGTCTGGGGCAGCGGCCCCACCCGCGGGCCCAGCCTGTGCCCGTCCTGAGCCTGTCCAGGCATGTGTGTTGTTTCTAGTGGTAGAAGTAGATTGTATTCGTTAGAAATTTGGGGAAACACAGGACAACAAAAAATACAGGAAATTACCGTGATCCCATGACCCAAACATGAGCTAATTGCTAACATCATTTTCTGGGACTTTCTTTTTTTCAAAAGAGGTTTTTTTCCCCCTACTTAATTAAGGAAAATTTCCCAAGTCATTAAATATCAACAACATAATTGTCTCTGAAGAGACTTTTAAAAAACCATCTTTTAAAATCTGTAACAATATTAGGGGTGCCTGGGTGGCAGAGTCAATTAAGCATCTGACTCGGTTTGGGCTCAGGTCATGATCTCAGGGTCATGGGGTCAAACCCCGTGTCAGGCTCCGTGCTCAGCACAGAGTCTGCTTAAAACTCTCTCCCTCTCCCCCTCCTCCCCACACTCACTCACTCTCAAATAATCTTAAATATATATACATATAAAATCTATAACAAAATTAATGTTTATTGTAAAACTTAATATAGTGTAGAAAATAAAACCCCTCCCCTCCCTCCACCATGTGATCCGACTTAAAAGAAGCTACCGTGTTAGCAGTGTAATTACTCCAGGGTCTTTAGTAAGCCCGGGGGATGCCGTGATGCGGAGGGACGTGTTGGTTATAAATTTAAGCAAACCCCCTGCTTTGGGGCCCAGAGGTGGCTTCCAGGTTGTTACTACGAGCAGCGCTGTACCAAACAGCCTTGGGCGGAGTTGGGAGCGCATCCTTGATCACTTCCTTAGTGTAAGTCCTGAAAAGAGGAGATGCCGAAGCAAAGCACCGGCATGCTTATGTGGCTTTTGCTCCGTGATGTTGGAATCCTTTGTGGACCAAGGGGCTGGCCAGGGCACAAAAAGGCAGAACTCAGGACAGCCTACAGGTCCGACAGCAGGGCTGGGCAGACACACTGTGGCCTCCTGGGCAGCTGTTGGGGCGCGGGGGGCGGCGCGGGGGGTAGGGGGTCGGGAGCGACTTCTGTGCCGTTCGGATGGCGTGTGACAACTGCGGTCTCAGATCCTTGAGGTAAAGGACAGCGAGGGGTCCGGGGGGCTCCGTTGCCCCGTCGCCGGGAACAGGCCGGGGCAGGACCCAGCCGCTCCCACGGTCTCTCCTCAGGCCCAGATGATCTTCCTCGACTGCGGCCACGTCTGCTGCTGCCACCGATGCTGCCAGCCGCTGCGCACGTGCCCGCTGTGCCGTCAGGAGGTCACGCAGCGCCTCCGGCTCTACCACAGCAGCTGAGCCCCGGGCTCCAGACCGGCACAGCCCCCCCGCCCCGGGTCCCTCTCTCGGCCTGGGAGCTGCCCCCCCACCCCGTTCCTCTCCGAGCCCACCTGGGCGGGGGCGGGAGGGGGACCGAGTGCTCCTGGCCGTGCCGCCGCTCGTCCGACTGCTGTGGGGGAAGCGAGGACCCCGAGTCTGAGGACGGCCTCGGGGCTTTGGAGAAGCAGCTGTGCCCCCATCTAAGCACAGGACTGAGGGTCCTGGCCGCTGCCACTTCCCAGCAGTCTGACTGCGGCAGGTCACTGCCCTGCGGGAGCCTCGCGTCCTCATCAGGGTAACACGGACGGCGCTGTCCCCCTCAGTGGGGCGGCGGGAGTGCGGGAGGGCCCCGAGCGCGGAGCTGCTGTACGGAGGCCACCACGGGGCGCCACGGGCTGGCCTCACGTGGACTTGCCGGTGTGCTGAGTGCACGCCTTGTACCGCAAGCCACGCTCGCCCCTCCCGACCTCCCCCTCTGGGCCCCTCTGCTCTCCAGACCTGTACCTCCTAACAGTCCACCCCCCCATCCCCCCGCCACAGCTCACAGGCAGGCAACGGGCTTTGCCCACCCGAAGCAGGAATGTCAATAAATCCACCTCCAGCCTGATCCTGAGTCCTTGCTGGGGCCTGGTGGAGCCCGGGGACAGGGGAGGGCTGGGGGGAGGGGGGGTGGTCTGGGGGGAGGGCTTCACCTCAATCAAAGGGAGGGAGAGGTGGGAGAGGCATTCTCCAAATCTGCCCTCATGACAGGTGGACAGACAGCTGGAGCAGGTCGTGGGGGGGGCGGGGCGGGGGCTGTGCGCTCCCTTACCGCTATCCCGGAGAAGGGCCCAGGGCCTGGGAGCTGGGACATGGCAGCGCTGGGGCTGGAGCCTGGAAGCCTCTGGACTCCTAAGCCCATGCAGTTGTGCTGGTGGTTCATTGCACAACTCTAACAGGAGCCATGCCCCCTTGCACTTGATCAGAGCCGCACGTTTATTGTGTATGTTCGGGCAGATGGTTTTGAACCAAGTGGAGCTTGCTTTGGGCTAGAGGTGGGTCTCTTTGGGGCCCCCGGGCTCTGCCTCCAGCTAACGCTGACCCTGGCCAGCCTTCCAGACTCCTTTCCCCGTCCATGCATTCGATAAGGGACCTGACGGGGCCCTGACGCAGCCAGTAGCCACCAGGGGGCACTGAGTGCTCACACCAGGTGCGATGCTGGATGCCGGGGCCTGGCCTTGGAGTGGCAGAGAGCCGTCTGCCTGCACCTCAGTGTCCCTATCGGATTGGGACCATCAACCCTGTAGACTGAAATGGGATGGGATGAAGGCCCCTTGTAAGTCCTTCCCAAGCAAGAGCTGGGGCCTCTTCCCACAGTCTCACCCCCTACCCCTGACTCCCCAGGAGCTCTGCCGCCTCCCTCTCTCAGCCCCAAACCTGGGCTCAGCCTTAGCCGAGGGAGATGGAGACCTGGGCGGGCAGGGCCACATAGGGCACAGCATTTTGCGAATCACCCAGGCTCCTCACTAGGCCCAGGGAGAAAGACTTTTATGAGCGCCCAGCCCTGCTCTTCTAGATGGAGCGATTTGCCAAGGACCACAGCAAGACTGCAGCTGAATGTCTGGTCTCCGGCCCCAAGGCCCCCCCCCGTTCCTCACCTCAGCCCTTGTTGACCAGCCCTCAGCCACTGGCCACCATGGAAGCCAACGTCCCTCAAGGTGACTGGCTGCTATCCCACCCAGGACGCCTGTTTACACCCTTGGACGGGACAACCCATCCCCACCAGCTGTGTGTGTGTGCGCGTGTGTGTGTGTGCCCTGTAACCTCAGCCAGGGATCCACATCTTCTTGGGCCTCAGTTTACACGGTGGTAAAATGGCGGTAACGAGGGTGCTCTCCTGGAGTGCTCAGCCCACAGCGAGTGCTCCGTGACTGCTGAGTGAGCAGGAGTCCCCAAAAACGCCCACACCGCTGTGGACACCCCGGGGCTACTTGGCCTTAAAGCTGCTGCCAGCCCTCCTGGCCGAGAAGGCCGAGCTGCCATCAGGCTGGTCACCTGTGTGCCCTGCACCCCGTCTCCGGGGCGGTGTCCTCCGACCAGGCACGGAGGGGGGGGGGTCAAACGAGGAGCCCAGAAAGTCAGGGGACACTGCTGGTCCTAGACTGGCTCCGGCCCGGGTCTCCCACTGGCGGCACCACACGCAGGTCCCTGGCTTTAAATCATTTATTGATTAGTAAAGCTTAAAGAGTTTGCATAATATTTTCAGTACAATATCTGGGAAGGATGATTGGAGAAAACCCCAAGAGAAGGCACTAGAGGAGAGAGATGAACACGGAACCTGGTGGCAGGAGGTTAGTGAGGCATTTGAGATTAGGGCTGGGGGGACCCGGAGGGTCCCTGAGCACCAGCCACCACCGCACGTCCTGGGGGTGTGAGGCCCCTGCCCTGGGAAGCGGATTGAGGGGGCTGGGGAAGCCAGGGGATCCCGGGCCCTGGGGAAGCGGCTCAACCCTCACCCCCAGAAACAAGCAGCTTTGGGAGGAGGATATCTAAGAAGGGAATTTTTCAGGGGCCAAGCCACAGCCTGACCCTACATCCTCAGAGGGGCCACCAGTGGTGCTTTGGGGAGCCAGACCCAGCTTCCCTGATGGACAGTGCGTACCTTGGAGGTGGCCCTCGGAAGACAGAATCTATACCCCCAAACCCCACCTCTTGAGCGGCCTGCCACCCCTCCGTCCCAGCCCGGAGTGTGTCGCCACAGGACGGGCAGGGGGAACAGAGGGACTCCTGGAGGCTGGGTGCTAACAGGTAGGAGCTAGGCTGGGGCGGGGGCGGGGAATGTAAAGCCTGCTCCAGCTTCCAGAGCCTTCCCTGGGCCACCTCAGCCTGCTCTGAAGACACTCCCAGCAATACCTCCCCTCAGCTCACCCCCTCCCTCCCTCCCTCCCTCCCTCCCTTGGAACACTTCCTCTCCACAGACTAGCACATTCTGGGCCTTTCTCATTCCAATCCCGGCCCCTCACCCCTCCTCCAGGAGGCATCCCTAGCCTGGCTACAGCCTGAAGACCCCTCTGTGCACCTCCCCTCACCCCACAGCAGGCAAAGCGAGGCCAGTGTCCACTCCAAACCTGGCCTCTGGAGGCCCAGCCAGGATTGAGGAGGACAGTGGTCTGGACACAGAACTGGGCTTCAACGCTCCATGCTTCTGGTTCCAGTGGGCCCCCTCCACCAGTGAGAAGGGAGAGAATTCAGTGGCCGAATAACCCAGCGAACAACTCTACATCGGTCTTACTGAGAAGGAGGGTGAGACCCCCAGGAGGGAAACCGACCCCAGAAAGCAGGAAGGGAGGACCCAGGGAACCGGCGGCCACCAAGGTACTCCTCAGCCCCCTCGGCTGGCCCAGCTCCCAGCACAAGCAGGAAGCCCCAGATCATCCCACAGAAGAGAAAACGGAGCAAAGTGTGACCAAACCCAATAAAGTGACTCAGGTGGGCCAGCCCCAGAGGTGCCACACCAGCCCTCCCCTACCTCCACCCCGAGGCCTAGATCTGGGGCTCCCCGGCTGGAGCCAAGCCTGCCAGTGTCTTGGAGGGGGTGGCCCGTGTGCCATGTCCAGCAGAAGCTCGGGGGTGACCGGCCTAGAACTCCGTCTGTACCCCTGCGCTGTCCTCGGTGGTGGTGTGGATGGGGGGGCGGCCACCAGGGCTGGACACCTGCTCCCCGGTCTCCTGGTCACTAGGTTTGGGAAGCTCAAGGTCCGCAGCCTTTCCAGGAGGGAGTTGCCGGAGGGGTGAGGCGGGCGGCGAGGAGGCCTCAGGGGCTGCCGCGGGCTGGGGGCTCTCCTGGGAGGGGGCCCCGTTGAGCAGAGGGCCAGCCGGCGGGGGGCTCTCAGCCCGCAGATCCCGGGCCAGCAGGCCACGGAGCTCAGTGACACTGTCCTGGGACGCAGGTGATAGTGGCTCAGGGCCGGCCTCGAACGGCAGCCCTGCCTCCTCGTCCTGGACCACAGACACCACCTGCTTGGCACGCCGTCGCTTTTCTGAATGGGTGGCTGCTTCTGGGACGCTGGGGCTGCCGCCGTCCCCCCCGCTGCCACCGTACTCCTCACCCCAGTCGATAGGCGCGCCCTCGGCCAGCAGGTGCAAGTTGGGGTCGCTGTTGTGCATGACCATGCTGTCCCGGTAGAGGTTGTGCTTCCTCTGCACCGCGGCCTCCTTCACGGCTGCGGAGCCAGAGAGCAGGGTCAGGACAGTCGGCGCAGAGGCCGCGGCCGCCAGCCCACCCTCCACGGCGCCCGAGTAAGGACCCCCATCATCACCCCCGGCCTCACTGCTGGGAACCAGCAGCCCAAGCTGGCCACCACCGTGTGCTCCTGTCCCTCATCTGCCACCGTCTGCAACGCCAAAGCCTGAGCTGACAGGACAGCACAGAGGAGCGATGCTACCCGCCCAGGGCCACACAGCGTGCCTAAGCCAACCGCCAGGCCTAAGCCCCGAGCTTAGGGTTTCTTTGCAGCTTAGCGCTTGGGACCAGGAGGACCTCTCAGCAGCCATCTTTATCACCTCCTCCCCTCCCCCGGCGCTGAGGCTCCCCCCAGCTGGCCCTCCCGTACCCTGCAGGATGTCCTTCATGACCGTCTGCAGCACCACCTCCTCGTACGTGTTCTCCACCAGGATGAACCTGGCGAAGTCCTCGAAGATCAGCTCCTGGAACCGGGGCAGCTCCTGCAGGGGTGGGGTGGGCAGAGGCGGGGGTCAGGCCGGCGGGTGGAGGGAGGGGGCTGGGGGCGAGGGGCTGC